AGGCCTTTCACTTCATTGCCTTATATGAGTGAGGGGCAAGCACATTTTAAGGAAAAATGAGATAGCTGAGTGGTTGATGTGACACCCCTCTGGTCTGACTTCTGTCTGACTGCCTGGACTGTATATGGTATTAATCATAAGAGAAATCTTTCTCTGTGTATCTCTGATAATTCTTCTCAGCTTTTAACATCACTGCCTGCTCCTCTAACACTGTCCTCATACCTCATCCTGGTAGGTCCTGTGCTATTTATACTCATGATAAACCAAAAAAAAACCAAAAAACCAAACAAACCAGGAATTAGATCACCCAAGTTCATTACAGATCCTGGATCTGTGGAGGTGGAAGTCTCATGTAGTGTCCCAGTGTGTTACTCGGCCTCCCCAGGCTGGTTAATTTTAAAGTGATCATTTAGCACTAACCTGGAAACACACGACAGCCTTCAAAATGAAAACAATCTGTTTAGGCAGGTGGGAAATGAAACCAGTCCTAATGGCTGTAATGGTTTTCTGTGAAGGCCCCAGGCCTCATTTTGTCTCTCATAGCAATATAATCTTTTATAGCGTCTGTGAAGTTTCCTAATAAATAAATGTTCCTTGTTGCTGGTGGTTGAAGATGCTGTACAGGTGCATCATGAAAGTGCACTGGCAGACCGTCGGGTTTCAGTTCAAAACCTCTTGTCAAGATCATTTTACAAGATATTTCAAAGGAGTATACAAGAAATAAAAAAAGCAATGTAGCTGCAGCAGGGATTTAGTAATAGATTCCCTTGCTGTCTGGGAGCTGTTAGCATATAAGTTGCATCAGTTTTCCCAAATTCTTTCAACTCCATAATTAGTAGTACTTGCAAATGCGCCCTTAGTTTGGCAAGTGGGGAGAGAATGAAGGAAGGTAACAAATATGAAGGACAGAGAAAGAGCAGCTGCTTCAGAATATTTTCTGTAGCTACAGTCATTTCTTGCTTATTCTCTGTCTCGGTTGTTTTTCCAGAACTGGAGATGGGATTAAAATAAGGAAGAAAGAATTCCTTGCTTGCTAAAATTGCAGAAAAATTCCCTTTCCCCCTAGTTTGGTATTTTTACAAGTTCCCATTTCTGCTTAGTTTCTCTGCGGGGAAGAGAAGAGTACAGTTCCCTGCAGCTCATGTCTATCATGACAGAGGGAGAAACAAAATGTGAAAGCCAAGGGGGGAGTTAAAATACCCATTTGATTACTGAAGAGTTAAACTGCAGTATCAGGCAGAACATTTCTCCTGCATTGTCTCTTGGTGCCTTAAACCATGATGCCAGTGATGGATGCCATGGTGCAAGTCCCTCCTGGATCACCAACATGTAAAATTATCTTCACAAAATCCCTGTGAATTGCTCTTCTTCCATGGTTTATAGATAGACACAAAGGCACTGATATGCACTGACCTAGTGCCCTCCCTTTTTCAGTGATGGGTGTTGCAAGGTGTGTTATTCTGTAACACAAAGAGTATGGCAGATTTTCTCTGAAGGATTTAATTCATTGCCTTGTCAAACAACTATGGATAATATGTTCCTGCTCTTATATACTGTCCACACTTGGAACATTCAAAAATCCTAAGTTGTTTTTGTATTAGGAACCTCTATAATTGTCTGATCCCATGGGGCTGCAGAACTGTAACTGACAGCCAGCATGAGTAACCTCTTAAAATCATCTTAATGGAAAGTTTAGAAGTTGTGAATAATCCCGTTAAATGAAGGAAAGAAAATGTTTTATCTTAAAATATTTAGAGCGGATGCATCATTTGAGTAAGAAACCAATGTGCCTGAATTAGAAATGTCATAACTTCAAAGAAACTGAGTCAGTAGTTCAGAATGAAGTGACATAGCTTTTAAAGGAAGGCAAGCAACCCTGCTTTCCAAAAAGCATCAGGAATACAAATGGTGTACACCTAAAAATAAATAGTGTGAAATATAAACATGGGAAATAACGTAGAAATAAGAAGAGAAGAATATTCCCCTTAAAACCCAAAAACCTAAATTAAATTTCATCTATTAGCTTTGGAACACAACCCCTGTTTTCTTCAGAAAGGATGCCGGCACTGCAGTAAGGACACACTTTTTCCTGCTAGATGGGTCTTGGAAGAGCCTTTGCTGAGCTAATGCAGTAGAACAGAGTGAGCATATTCTTCTCTTCACATGCAGTTCAAGCTCACTTTTATCCTTTCACCAGAAATATACATTTCTAGTATTACTGCAAATCAACTTAGACACTACACTACACCAAGAAGTATCTACCTAAAAAATGGGCAGTCTCTCTCATTTTAGAAATGGCCTTTTGCTCCTGGTACTATGAGCAGATAACTGGAATGATCACGCATATTGAGCATTCCCCTTTGCCTGTGTTGCAATACGACACAGGAGCCCCAAGGAGGAATAGCTTGGGCTTGTCCTAGTGCAAAAGGGACTGCAAGAGATAACACTGCCTTTAGGCAGAGCACACACTGGTTAACCTGTGTCATTCCTGCCAGGCATTAGTCAGCCCTTCTCTTAAAGCCAAGCTCCATGTCCTTCTCAAAGGCTGCTCTGGAGCTCGTCTGTCGCTGACGTTAGAAATGTGCACCCAACGATCAGCTGGGGTCTTTGGGTCGTGTCCACCCTGAGCAAGCAGAGTGGTCCATCCTCCCTTCCCTGCAGCAGCCTTTGGGATAGAGCAGTTATCTTGTCCTCCCTCTATTTTTTTTTTTAACATTAAAACCCATCTCGTTCAGACTTTAATTAATGACAGTCCCTGCCCCAAGCAGCTTGGTAGTGGGCCCGATCAGCCTGATGTCATTACTTCACCATGACAATTTCCTAACTAACTCCATGTGATATTCCATCTGTCTGACACTATTAAAAACTTTTTATATAGCCCTTATTATTGTAGTTGCTGAGCTCCCCGCAAACATCACAGTGAGGAAGGGAAGTGCTGTTATCCCCACCGAGGCACAGACAGACCATGACCTGTCAGGATCACACAGCAAGTCTTATCAGGGAATTAAATACAGGTCTTTAAGTCTTCAACCAGCTCTAGCTGCATGGTATGTTAATGTGGAGAATCAAGTGGCAAGCAAATAGGGAAAGTATGAAATTGTATGTGAGAATTTTATTATTTTTTAATAAAACCTTACTTTATTTTTAATAAAGGTAAGATTATGGGCATGATATCCCACTAAAAGTAGTTAAGTACCACATTTTTTTTTGGTTCCTGACTGAAGTAATTTAATAACAGCACAATCACACCTTGTTGTTAGTCAGACATAACTGAGAAGCCACCACGAAGTTTATGGTTAAATTCTATTTGAAAACTGTGAAGTTAAAGCACATATGAGTAAGGAACCTAAAGTTGTCTTAGTGACTCTCAATTTTGTTTCCCAGAGCTCGCTGCCGTGTGATCTGCTTTATATTGAGTAATAGGTGAGCCACCAAAGGCATCTGAAAGTCCTTCCTGATGTTCAGAAAAGAGAAGGGTCTATGTTTTAGACCCCAAATAATGCATATTGTCAGGAGCACATACATTTTTAGCACTGCACACATACACTGATTCAGAACAATGTTTATGCATCTGTGCTGTAGACAGATATATACCTTTTGGGTATGACAATACCAAGACAACATTAATTCTGCTGAATCTGATTTTTGGACTCCACAAATGGAGTGCAGCGAGAAGGGGAGAGGAGAACCACCTTTGTTGTTGCTTGAGACAGTCTCACTTAGTCCCAGATTAACTCTTAAATCTTAGTTTATTTAACTCACTGAATATTTTCCTGTAATGTGCACAGATTATATTGTAAAGTCTCTTTAAAGGTCAATTTAGAACCTTCTAAGCAAATAAACACAAAATAAAAGGCATTGGAGCTGTTATCTGTCTGAAAGCTTAGCTAAAGGTATGCTATGGCTTAATTTGAACCAGGAGAGCTGGATGGAGATTGCATTTAACCAGAAATGCTGGCAAAAATATGCTTCAGTAGAGCCAGAACCACATGTGGCCATTCCACTTTAATTGTGCTTGTTTTAAAAGATAGGTCTTTAACATTTACCCTCTCCATGCTTGCTGTCTCTTTATGAACTGAAAATAAAAACTCCCCAGGCAGTCATACTAAGACCTCAAGCCTGAAACTTTTCAGCTGAGTCAAAACCAAAACCTGCGCTGAGTCTGCCTCGTGCTTTTCTTTTGTAGCCATAAGAACATTGGACTTCTCTGCTGTTTTTTTCCCCCGAGTCCCCAGGCCAGTCCTAACCCGGGGAGGCAGTGTTTTGATACTAAATGTGTCTCCTTGGTGAGGTCAAAGGCAGTGGCAGCAGTGCTACTGGTGCGGGGGCAGCCTGCTGTAATGTACTACAAAACACCAAAGTACGCTCAACAATAACAAAAGCATTAACCGCTGACCCACAGCTTGGTGAAATTCAATCCCACCATTAGGCAAACATGAAAATGAGATCCCAGAGGAAGGAAGGTTCAGATGTTCAAGACCAGAGGAATTGGGTGAGGAACACAGGCGACGAGATGGAAGTTGCTGCAGACTGAGGGGAGGGAAGGGGAGGTTGCCAGCTCAGCGGTAGGATCTTTTAATACCATAAATTTCAACACAGACTGAGCAGTCAGTGTTTTTGCTTCACTTTGGAACAAAGCAAACTCAAAATGATTTATAAGAAGGATACCTTTCACCATTTTTAGGGACTCATTTAAGGGGATACAGTTTGATTTCCCAGGGGTCACTTCAGAGCTTCACGTTTCTACGTTCGTGTTAAGTCTGGTGTTTGTGGCAACGTGTGGGTGCTCACACCAAGGCTGGAATGGTTCAGGAACCTGGAACAGCTAAACCTCCAAGGATGACTCAGTTTTATATCGTGTCAGATGGTCAGAGATTTCTGTCCCAGTAGTGAGCAGTGGGTCTGGGTGCTGCAAGGCTGCAGCCAGCAGATGGATGGGGGCACTGGCAGGACCGACGCTCTCTCAGTTGTTGTTATAATGTGTTGCTTTTCTTCCCCAGAACACACTGAGTGCAGATGACCATTCTCCTGAAGACAGCTTCACCCTGAACCCCGAGGACCACAGGGAATACCCCGATCTCCAGGCTGCCCACCGGCCATTCCCTAAACAGCGATTCCGGCAGGAAAACGGCCACACATCCCTGCAAAGAGATGGACCCAGATCTTTCCTCCTGGATCTCCCAAACTTCCCCGACCTATCAAAAGCAGACATCAATGGGCAGAACCCCAACATTCAGGTACAAATTCATGTTAATATCTGACCATTTTTGTGTCTTGCACAAAGTTATTTTACTAAACCAAGACAACTTCCAGCCTGGCTTCCATGACACGCAGTCAGAACAATCTGCCTCTACCAATAGCACCAAGAGAGAATGTATACGGTATAATTTAATATTATGTAGCATAGCATTGTATATAAAATATAATGTATATATAAAACATGTCTACTATATACTTTTTGTCTCTAAGTAATTGCACATATTTCAATTTTTTTCTGAATTTCTCCTTGGATACTGTTGATTGCATGAATGTGGGGATCAGTGCAGACCTGTTGATGATATTAAGCCCATCTTTGGGATTGCCATTTTGGAGCATATTATCTTCATTGATAATAAATGGGTATTTTAATTTCTATCTTCAATTTACTGTTGTAAAATTTGTTTGCGAACAGATCCTCTTTTAGTATGCTATTATAAAATGGAATCATCTCCAAAGGTTGTAAGAGAATAAGTCTTTTAGTCTCAGCTCAAAAGTGCTGGATGGAACCAAGATTTAGAGTTAATTTCTGCAGCAGCTGCTTGGAGTAAAAATAAAGGTTGTGTGCAAGAAACTTTGTTATATGTTATTCCTCAAACTGTTCTTGGGTTTGGAACAGCCTCTTACAAGCCACTTACATCTTGAAACTTCAAGGATTGGAAAGAGGAAAAAATGAGTGATTTGTTTTTAATTCAGAGCCTTAAAGCAAAATTGGCATTAATAAGCAGTCCTTTTTAACCAAAACAATAAATTCAAATGTTGTTCTGCCTAAGATGTGCTTATACAAACAATACACTAATAGGTCTGGTTTTCTGGTTAAATTAATTCCTGGCTTCTTATAGTCCCCCAGCCCACAAAATTACCATGCTTTTGATATGTCTAAGAAGTATGTATGTAAAGATCTACTGGTGAGAGGCCAACATGCTCAGAGGGCTGGAGCACCTCTCCTGTGAGGACAGGCTGGGAGAGCTGGGGCTGCTGAGCCTAGAGAAGAGAAGGGAGACCTTAGAGCCTCTTCCAGTACCTAAAGGGGCTACAAGAGAGCTGGAGAGGGACTTTTTACAAGGACATGTAGTCATAGGACAAGGGGGAATAGCTTTAAACTGACAGAGGGTAAGTTTAGCTTAGTTTTAGGAAGAATTTCTTTACTGTGAGGGTGGTGAGGCCCTGGCACAGGTTGGCCAGGGAAGCTGTGGATGCCCCATCACTGCAAGTGTTCGAAGCCAGCTTGGATGGGGCTTTGAGCAATCTGTTCTGGTGGGAGGTGCCCCTGCCCATGTCAAGGGGTTGGAACAAGATGACCCTTAAGGTCTCTTCCAACCCAAACCATTCCATGATTCTGTGATTGGATGAGAACAAGCTGCCTTCACGTTGTCACTCCATTGCACTCACCACAGATGACTTGCAACATTTAGAAGCCTCACAGATTTGGGTCAGGTGTGAGTCTAATACTTGAGGGGCCAAGGTAGGAAACATGTTCAACGTGTGGTGACTGAATAGATCTCTCACACTAGGTAGGAAAACCCTTTCAGAAAGCCTTAGGAAGGTACGGTTGGGAATCTATAAGGGCCACAGATTGTGGCATGAGGTAAATAATGTACATCATTATTTGAACGGTATGTAAACCACAGAGAAGGACAGGAAGAAACAAAAACCTTCTCTGATTGGTGACAGCACACGATGTTTAGACCCAGGGAATAGATAAAAGAGATGGAAACAGTTCCCTGGCTTGTCTTTGTAGTAACTGCTGCTGCTATGACCTCTTTTTCCACCACCTGTTCTTGGAAATGTGTCAGCAACTATGTCAGCAGTTTTGCTGGACTCTGAGAATTGGGAAGACTAGTCCTGTAAACTGGAAAACATTGGGCAACATTGATCTCAGAGCTCTTGTGCACAAGGATGAGCTCTTTCAGAAACAGACTCCCTAAGTCCTGCATTGTATTTGCTCTGCATTTATTCTGCTTACTTAGGTGTGTAAATAGGGATATACAAAAGTTCTTTAAGTTCCTGGTTGACAGTCCTGCAGTAGGTCAAGCCTCATGGAAATAAAACTCCCATCAATTCCTTGCAGAGTCAGAGAAAGTTTATTTCTTTGCCTAAAGGCCATAAAAGGTGGCCTATTCTTTTAGAAAAATAGGGTTATAGTGAACTCTTGCTCTTTACCATATTGACCTGAACAGAAATAGTGACACTTGTTGACTTGCAAATTTCTCATCAGCTGTTTGGCAGGTGAGAGCAGAATAGATGTTCATTTGTCTTTTTGCACAATGGCTTCAGACTATGGAAGTTACATTCCTGGGGATGTTGATTTAAAAGTCCTCCTGGGACCGTGAGGTTGGAAAGGAGAAAAAAAAAAGCCTATGTGTTAAGAGCACAATTGCCACATTTTCTTTTCAAAAACTCATAGCCTCTTTTCCCTTCTCCTGGGGTATAAACTTTCCTAGACCAAAAATAACATTTTTTTGAAGGAACTTGTACCTGGAAATTTTAAATATCTAAGGAAGAGACATAAAATTCAGACGATAAAGCAGGTGGAAAAGGTACTCCAGTGAGTTGTCTTTGTGGCCGTTCCTTATCTGGTTCCTGTGAGATGGCACTTGCTGTATGATGCCCTGGTGTGTCTTCTTTCAGGGGAGAAGTGGTGAATATCAGAACACCATCACAGGAATTCAGAAAGCTACCATGCGCCCCAGGTACTGCTGTATTTATCAGATGATAAATAATCAAATATAAGTAGAGCAGACTAGAAAACCCTCAGAAACAACAGCCAGAGCTGCAGTAATTCAAATGCAACTTGATTCTTTGCATGCAAGACCAGGACAACACTTACTGGCCTTCCTGTGGTGTTCTAGCCTTGTAAAATCTCCCATCTTTTCAAGTGGCATTTTAGGCTTTAGCGTTGCTTCCACACTGATTGTTTGAGAGTAACCGCAGTAGCTGCTGTTGAGCAAAGCCTGGCTCTTTGGTTTGGGGTATTTTGTTTGCTTCTTTTTTGTCATTTTAACAACTCTGTCAGTGCCTGGAAGACCTCTGGATGAGAATGTGATTACAAAAAGTAATTACGCATTTTCTTCAGATCTCCTTTCTCGAGTGGAAGATCCCTTTTGTCTTGGTTTGCACTCATTTGACGAACCAGCCAAGGGATGCCTACGCAGACCTTGTAATTGGGCAGGGTTATTATTCAGAGAAGGAACTGTTTTTACCCCTGAGTAGCAGAATGATGTCACATGGGAGGTGTACAGGAACCTGCCTACTTTCCATTTCTGATGGGTTTCTCTTGTCTGTTCCAACCAGCCTTCTACAACATCTGCTCTTTGCAGCCGACCCTCTTTTTGGAGCCAGGTGTTTCAACTTGCAAGTGAACTTTTGTTCTTGTCCCTCTCTTTTTCTTTTTACTGCTGGTTTCCCAGGCTTGTGGGCTGTAACAGGTGCAGGTAGTGTGCTGCTCTCTGTTGTCCCACTGCTTTGCTGCTTCCCTAGCAGTGCTCAACACCATGATGAATGAGCAGAAAAGGGAAAACTCACAGAACCATGGAATGGTTTGGGGTTAGAAAGGACCTTAAAGATCTAGTTCCAACCACCCTTCCATGGGCAGGGACACCTTCCACTAGATCAGTTTATTCAGAGCCCCCTCCAGCCTGGTCACACCTCCAAGGATGGGGAGTCCACAACCTCTCTGGGCAATGAGGGCATTTGGTTGGTATTAATGCTCTTCAGAGAACTTGAATCTTGGTCAAGCCTCGTGACCAATAGACCTGAAACACAGCTGGGTGAGCTCCAGTTGCGATGGATGTGTTAAACATTTTGGATGAGGTGACAAGTTCCAAGTGAAACCTGCACAGAAACAGACAGGATTCCTGTCTAAAACCATGTTGATGTGCCCTGGAAAACTGAAGTAAATCAGTGTATGATTAAATCTGTTGGGATTTTTATCCTTGCTTTGAGTCACAGGATTGGTAGTAATTCATAGGAGTGATTTGAAGCCAGAAGTTAGTGCTGCCTGCTTGGTGATGTGTCATCTTTATAATTTTGCATGAAGCCTGTGGCTATAGCCACTAGTCATGCCACTCCAGTGTTGCTGTATTAGCTTTGTTATCTGTTACCTATTTGTTACCTGTTTGTTATCAATTTGTTATCTATCTGTTATCTATTTGTTACCTATTTTCTCTCTTCAATATCTCCAGTTGCTACCTTCTCTTAAAAAAACATCCACCCAGAACCACCCACTTTGGGAACATACACAGCTACAAATAAGGCTTTATGATCTGCTTTTAAAAAAGAACTGCAGATTTCAAATTAACTCTTCCCCATGGCCATTTCCCTCACCTCCACCTATACCGTGTGTCACTTTTCACACATCTAATAGATGTGTTTTTAAATGTCATTTTATATTTGTCATTTGAAGCTGCTGGTTTCACTGCATTAGAAAGCAACACCCTCTTGGTATTATCACAAAAGACTCAATAGTATCTGACCAGTAAGTCTCATCTCTAATTTAGCACAGGGAGAACTGGAAGGCTCCAGTAGTGCTTGTTTCTTGTGATTTCTGTAAGGTTTAATAATAAAAGCACTGGAAGCACTGATGTAGCCTTCAGGATCTAGCTAGTCATCTGGCAAGCTGGAGAGATTACCAGAAATTGGTATTGAAAGTGGTTTAACTGTTACTACCTCTGTGCAGTTTTCTTAATGTCATGGTGTATGTAACAGGAGCTCACTGCAGAGTGCAGTGCAGAGCTCTCTGGAGTTCAGTTTGGCCCATCAGAGATTACAAATAGGATTGACAGCAGTAAAATATAAATTTCGGGGTTTGAGTCACTTTGTCCTTTTTGCTCCTAGCAGATTTTGAGGGTCCTTCACTTTCCATCAAGTCCAGAAAACTGTCCTAAGTGACATGAGACAATCAAAAGTAAATTGGTATCATTACTGATAGCATTTTAATTGAAGTTGTTAAGTGGTGTAATGTTAATTTTACCATTGTAGTCTCTTACAATGAACTCATTTCTATTCTCCTATTATAGTTACCTCATTGCTGACTTGCACAGATTCATCTTTACAGAATGGCAAGTTCTGCATTAAGAATATGCATCAATTGCACAAAAGAAACAAAGGACAGAAATATCATAGGATCCACTGCTTGCACAATATTGTAAATGTAGTTTTTCTTGAAACATAATCTTCCAGTTGCTTAGAGCAGTGTTTACACCAGTAAAGTGAATTCAAAAACATTGTCTCAGTAAACAGGATGAAGAACACAGAACTCTTTGTGCACTCCAACAGGCGGGGATAATATTTATCTTCTGTATATTTTTGGCCAGGAGAAAATTGGATGTTGGTATCTGAAGACATCTGTGCTTGATACACTTGTTTCATTAGAAATTGACTGCAAATTTGTTGTTTTAACATACCTACACCAATTGCTTTTAACAGTTTTTAGAGGAATGTCCTTAATTCATAGCTTATACAAACCATAAACGAAGTGGCTTCATTTTAGGTTTGAATACTTCTGGGGATGATTGTGGATTTATACAAGAACTGTGTTACCACAGACATTTTGGGAAGCTTGAGGGAAAATAAAATCTTTACAGTTTTGATAATCACTGAAAGAAGAAATCAGTCTTTGAAACCGGCTCCAAGACAGAAATACTAAACCAGATCTATTTTTTAATTTTTAAGAGGGACATGTTTTTGTTGGAATAGCTATAGAGCGTGAAAACTCTTCCAGAGCTGCTCTAAATGCCTGCTTTTTATGATTCTGGTTCTAGATCTGATTTCTTTTTTCCTTCATGTAAACAGCCTCCAGTATAGAAACTGATCAAACAAGTTCCATGTTTGAGGACCGTGTATATGTACAAGTATGTGTGTGTATATATATATATATGTACAGCCATGGACTAATGGTGTTAAGTCTATCCCTAAGTACTAGGAAGAATTCAATGAATGCTGATTTTTTCCAAATTTTACACTGGGATAGAGGAGCAATTGTTTGCCTGAAGCAGCAGCCTCTTCTCACACCTCTGCCCTAACTTTCAGGTCCTGTGATGGAGGGATTACTAGGATTAGGCACTGATTTCCTCCCTGCCTCTGGAAGGTCCATAAAGTTAAACGGAACTGGGCAGAGCACAGCCAAGTCCCTGCAAAATCTGCAACAGAGCTGACTGAAGCTGCCTCCTCATTTCTGACAGTGGCAGTCCAGACAATCCCAGGATTCTTTATAGAGTTTCTTTCACTCCATGGTTTTTATGCTACATATTAAGCAAACACCTTGGTAACCAAAACTTAAAGCAGCAGAGAGAGGGACACAGGTCTGTGTCAGGCTACCACATTGCATTTTACTTTTGCTATTTTGGGGTTTTTAAATAGTCTGTATGTTGGAAAACTCCTTTTAAAGGCCTTTGTGATAAGCTTCCTTAATGGTAAAAACAGACTGAAAGGGATATCTGATTGCACAGGTATGTCTTGAAAGTAAACCAGTGGCAGTGCAGTTGAAGGTCTGATGAGGTCTGACGATGCTGGAAGTGTGTGTTCCACCTGCCTTTCCTCACCAGTGTTAGCACCAAACTCTACAGGAGTTCCTCTGTCCCTACAAACCCTCTTTTCCTTAAACTGACTTGGCATCGTTAATTAGTATTTAAAATCAAATCCCTATGGTTATTCAGGCTGAAATAATGCGAGTTCATGCTGACTGACTGTCACACAACTGCAGATTAGCAGAGCAAATGGAATGATTATCATTGGTTTTTATCAGAGGGTTTGGTTTGGGTTTTTCGTTTTGTTTGGTCTTTCCACTTTGCTGAGTCATTGCTTACAGAGTTGGTGTGGTCTTAAAAATACTTGCTACCAAAGTACTGGAGTCGTGCTAATTTTCAGGTGGGGAGCAGCAAAGCCCCACTACTGGCCAGCAGTGCAGTGTTTGCCGCTCAGTAACGTGATTTCCTTTCACTTATTGTGAAAACTCTGTTTTGCTTGGATAGATGCAGCAATTTTGAATCCCTGAACTAACCCCGATGTTTTCAAAATTATGAAATCCATTTTAATTCTTGGTCTGTAGAAACTGAGGTTTAATGAAGTAATCATTCCAATTCCATGTGTAGCCTGGGAGTGAAATCCCTCTTGTGTAAAGATGCTATTAGGCTGACAACTGCACTTTCCCTTGCTCTTGCCCTGTCTCCCAGTGGACCTTCATAGTATCCTCAAAGTTGTTTCATTTCAATGGCTTTATCTGTGGTCAAATGCAAAGCGTGAAATAGGTTCAAAATCTCCTTTCTCCAAAAAAAGGATATGTGGGCATTGTCTGTGCCTGCAGCTACAAAGATACGGCAGCACTTCTGCCTTGATTCCTGTCACACTCCTCTGGAGATTTCAGGTGGCTGTGACCTTTTCTTTCTTTTTCTTGTGAGTGTCTTGGGATGTTACTAATAAGAATTGTATAAAACTAACTTTTTAACCACGGTGCACATCCACAGAGCCACTTAAATGACTTTTTTAGCATAATAGTATGTTATTCTGTTTTTTTCTGGGTTTTTACAACGTGATTTTGAAAGACTGCTTTGCAAACCTATAAAACATTGAGAATGCCTCTATTCAACTTGACAGACATATTGATAGCCATTTCTCATTGTTTAGCCAGTCCAACGTAATCCCTGAACCACGTTAGCATGAAACATCAGAGCATTTTATTAGTTATCTGTGGCCAAGGTTTCCGATGGCTAGTCCCTGCTTCTACTTAAATAGCCACCTATGTGCACACATAGTGTTCATCCAAGAATTTCACAATTACACATTGTTCAGCACAGAAAAGCAACAATCAAGTGTTTCTCCTACACAGAATCATATTTACATTCATGATGTCTGTGAGGGAATGGGGCAGCAAACTTTGAATTTTGGCTCTGGACTTCTGTAGAAACCATAAACAGGTTGACCATAACAGGTCATTATACTCTCCAGCATGAAAAAAGGACCTACTTCATAGGGCTTTGCAGCAAGTTGATGGTCAAAGGAGCTGCTGACTCCCATCATTGCCTCAGAGTGTGGTTTCATGTAGCGGTAACAGCTGGGCTGCTGCCAGAGGGCAAGACAGATGCAAACCCCGAGATACCCTGGGCTCTGCATCTTCACCTTCACACTCCTGGGCTTACTTAGCCCCGTCTTGAGTCAGTCCAAGTCCTCGGAATGGGCTCTGCACTCTCGTGTGCTTCATGCTTTCCTCAAATTCAGGCTCAGCATAATTAGAGTACAGATTTGGTTTTCTTTTTCCTGCTCGTGTATGTTCAGCTCTAAACATCTTTTCCCCATAAGGCAGAAAACTCTTCTGCAAAGGTTTAAGCACAGCATGGGTTATTATTTTGTGCAGGATTTTTCCTAGCCTTTGTTCCAAGGTCTGATTCAGCAGAGGTAGCAGAAGGAACCACTCAGCCGCCGCATATCTCTGGGCTCAGTAATCCCCAGATGGCTCAAAACATGTGAACCCGACGGTGTCGCGCAGCCCCTCTGCAAGGCAGCACCAGGCATTTGTCTTTGCTGTATAGAAAGTTTCCCACTGACCAGGAGGAGGTACTGACAGCCAGGCTGGCCTGTTTTGAACCCCACAGGTTACCATTGAAGTGGTGGATGGCCCCGACACCGAGACAGACAAGGATCTGCAGAAGGAGAGCAGCAAGCCCAGCTGGCCAGTCCCATCACCTGACTGGAGGAGCTGGTGGCAGAGGTCCTCCACCTTGACTCGCATGAGCAGTGGTGACCAGGACTACAAGTATGACAGCACTACTGAGGACAGCAACTTCCTAAACCCTCTCGGTGGGTGGGATGGTCATGCACCCGGTCACCGGACATTCGAGTCCAAGGAGCAGCCAGAGTATGGTGAGTTTGCGTTCCAGGCCTCTCATGGGCACCTTGGGATTGTAAAAACAAGCTTGGGGGAAATGAGAATGGTGAGGCATCGCTGAGAGCAGGCCAAGCAAAATAGAATTTTTCACCATGTGGCTTTTGTTCATCAGCTTTTCAATACAAATCTGTGCAGATGCACAAGCTGTACTGTGGTAGCTGCATTCCACTAGTAAGTCTATAATCTTGCAAATCATACCAGTTATCCCAGAAGAGGGCCTTTTTTTAGTCCAAAGTGTGCTTTTTTTTGGAAGCAAAGGAAACAAGGTTTCGTATTTATTTTTAGAGTAAGGGTAAGTACAAATTTAGAATCGTGCGGTGGTTTGGGAACCAAAATACAACTATTGGATAAATAAGCAAGATCTAAAACGTGGTAGTATTTGGTGGATACACAAATAAGATGAATTATGTTGGTGCATGTGTGGGGAGTGGCATATGCAGCAGGAACATTGTGTATTTGCGTGTGTAATTCTCTTCCAGATGTGTCACAGCAAAAACAATTGTTTTCAGCTTGTTGTATGAAACAGTTGCAGAAACTAGAAACAGAGAGGAGCTACAGCTATTCACTGCCCTGATGGGCTGTAACCATCCACATGGGAATGACTCAAGGGAGGTGAGCTAAACTGTGCTCACAGGAAGCTCAGAGCCCCTTGGATTTAAGTTGAATGCAAATACAGGCAACTTTTAGTCAGAACGAAGTTTCCAAACCACAGTGCTTTTACCCTGGCACTTTTGTGTTCTCCAGCGTGGCTGTCATGCACTGATTCAGTCTTATTTTTCCCGTGATTTGGTTAACTTTAAGTCCTAGAGCCTTAACAATCAGAAGAGCCTTTTTTTTGGAATGGTCTCTTTAAACACATACATATGTATTAAATTCTGTGGCCAGAAGATTGAAGTCTATCCCTTCATTTTGCACCTACATTTATTTGTGGGATGGGTTTATTGCCAAGAATTCACATCTTAGGTAGTTATTCATTTAAGTTAAATAAAATTGCTTTCACAAGTAATTGTGGTAGGAAAAAAAATAGTAAGAATTACAAATACAAAAATAGGAAGAACAGGATGAGCTCCAGCTGAAAATCTAATGTGATATATTCAATAATGTGTTTCATAATGCAGTGGAAACACTAGGTAGATAGGTCTAAAACTTTTCCTAGAGCTCTCTGCTGCACACCATCCTATTAATTGGAAAAGCTCCTGGCCTTCTGACTAACCTAAAATGCCACATGCCATTGGCCTTGTCCAGGAGGATGTAGCAGCAGATCCTGCCCCTGTGGGGCTTTGAAGCTCATTCCTCCCACTGACCTGCTCATCACCCCTTTCATGGCTCTGTCTCCCTGCTCCTGCCCTACCAAAAATCCCTGCACACTCTGCTTGCCCTTCCTGGGCCTCCAAACCTCTTTGACAGGCACTGCACCTGCTCACCTGCCCTATTCCTTGCCAGCCACAGGGAGAAAAAACTCAGAGTTGGAAAAGACCTGGACAGGAGAGAAGAGCCAGGCATAGAGGGCAGATCACATTTTCCTAAGACATCTGATGCCTTTTCAGACTGTTGTAGTGCCTACCTGTTGGCAAATCCCAGAACCATGGGTCTTACACATCGATGCTGACCATGGTCCTCATCACACCGTGGACACTGATTCCAGTGTGGTGGCTTCCCAGTTGTCAGCCATGTAAGAAAAGGAGGAGAAACACATAAGGTCTCTGCCACGGGGAACTCACATCTCAGGCAGCTTGCTACGAGTGAGATATATAACCTTCCCATACTCCTGGCAATAAATGTTTAATAGCACCCCACAGAGTTGTCGTCAGTCATTACATATGGTACAAATCAAGTTACATGTTCTACTAACCAGCTCAGGAAGCCCACAGACAGCAGGGCTGTTGGGGGAGCGGGAATGACGTGTAGCACAGAGGCCAGGGAAGGCAGGGATCTGTCCCTGGGTCTGGTGTAGCTTAGGTACTCTCACCTATAGCTGTGGAGCAGGGCCGGCTCAAAGCCACTGAACCAGATTTTGCTTTGCTAACCCAAAGGAGCTACAGCCACAAGTTATGATCACAGGGCAGTTAAATATCTCCTGTGGGTCACAGAGGTAACCATTAAGCCAAATGTTCCTCCCTCAGCTAAGGGAGGCAAGACAACTGGGATCTGTTCATGGGCTCTGTTTGGTGGCCTCCACCAGGTGGGATGTGCAACAGCAAACAGAGGAGACTAAGTGCTGAGAGGTTTAGATACTTACAGGGGCACCGAGCTGTGGTGGTGCAGACTTGGTATCCTGTGCCTTTGGCTTTCTACCAGAAGAAAATGAAGTCATGTTTCATTTTCAGAAAGGTGCCTGCTAATAAAGAGTTCGATTTGCTTAAACAGTTAGATTTGATGTTATTTAATAATTCACGTGAAACACTACAAATTGCATGTCATTCTCAGTGCAAAATGTGTATGTGGTTCCCTGTACTCATAGCAGTATTCCTGAAATATCTGTTCCCTGTTCAAAGGACTGAAAAGCAAAATTGCAATTTTCACGCATGACCTCCAGCTTCCCATAGCCCAACACGCATCTTGCCCTAAAAATTAATTAAGTGAGTACTGTTGTGCTATTTCTGTGTGTTTTGAAAAGATAAAAAAGAAAACTTAATTTATCCCATGCCTGATTAGGCTGTGGTCAGAAAACATATTCCTATATGCAAGAAAATTATGTGAATAGACTGTTAGTTCAAGACCCAGCTTTGCAGCTGAGGATTCTCAGCTGACAAAAGGTCAAGAGAGAAAGGAAATATTTTTTCAAATAATGTTGCATGCATTTCCCTGAGGAGCATCAAGTGTGAAAACCATTTAAACAGCAGGCTTGCGCCTGGCGTTCAGCCCAAGCTTCAGGTAGAGACATCTGGAACCCATTCTTGTTTTGCCTTCGTAATAAAAAACACTACACAGTAGTTTTTGGGCAGGAGGATTTTTGTTTCTTCATTTCCTTCCTCATCTTTGTTCTTGCACAGATTATATTGACGGTGAGGGCGACTGGAGCCCGTGGTCCCTTTGCAGCGTCACCTGCGGGAGCGGGAACCAGAAGCGGACGCGGTCCTGCGGATACGCCTGCACAGCCACCGAGTCCCGGACCTGTGACAGGCCCAACTGCCCAGGTGTGCTCGTGTTCACGTGAACTGCTGTCAGGGGGAGTGGGGAGAGGTGATCTCAGAGCTCCTGGACACAAAGACCAGGGCCTGTTTGTTCCCTGGCAAGGTAAGAGTTCCAGTGGGAAAAGGCACGCTGGTTTTCAACGCCATTTATGAAATGGCAGGTCCTTTCATAGTAATAATATGCTGGTAGATGCAGTCCACTATCCCCTGGGACTTAAAAGACAAGTACAGGCTTTCTTTAGGTCATTTTGCGCACAGGCATTTTTTATTCCAAAGGATGTCATCTACTCTCTTAAAACAAATTTGTATTCGTTTCAGAATTTCACAGCAGCTGTGCTGTTACTTCAGCGAGCTCCTGTTTTGCTGTGCAGTGAATGGGAATGCCTGCATGATGAGCAGGGATGAAGGAATGTATAGTTTTGGCTTGAATATATTCAGAATATATGGCTCTTACCCATCCACACGCATTGACATTTAAAGTGTCCTTACTATCCCACGGTCTTCACTTTGGCAAAAGCAGGGCTGAGCGCTCAAACCTACATCATAAAAATTTAAAGCTGCTATGGAAAACTTTCCCGTGATGTTCTTTAAATGGTGCTGTGTGTTTGGATTTAGACCAGTTTGTCATGCAGTAGCTGCCACAACACATGGGATGGGTGCAAGTTCATTACTTCCCAAGATCAGAGAGCAGTGAAAGCAAGCCATGGTTGTTTGCATTACACCAAGTTTACTTTATGACTCAGAAAGGCAGAAATTCTTAAACTGGAGGTCAGGCCTTTTTTAATGGGAAATGTCAGAAGTAAAATGTCAGAAGTGCTGGAGAGGAGACTTAGCAGACTTGGTGAGAGAGTTAGAGAGAAGTTTCTCACTCACAGATAGATGTGTGTCTCCATTGCAAGGCGATGGCTGCTAGGCAGTTCAGGAGAAAATTGTTTCTGGATGCTCTTCATACATCCTAAAACCTCAATAATAAGGGGTTAATACCAGAAGAAAGCATGTAGCCCCCAGTTATATTCTCCAGTATTTATTACCAGCTAGCATCAAACAGTGGCAAACTTGAAAGAATATTTATGTCATATAACAGACCTCCAACGATCAGCAAGAAAAATATATTCACTCTTTGAGGCTGTGCTGACATTTTTAAAATTACAAGGGCAAAGCTCAGCTTCTGCTGTTTATAATTCCAGCAGTGAATTACTGCCTTGTAATGGGTTCTTGGGTATCTATTATTCTGCATCTAGTGCTGCAGTTAAGGCAAAACCCTATGATAATTTTATTGAAAAGTGGCCTGAGGCTGTTTTGAAGCTTTGCAAGCCAGTATTATGCCCCAGTTCAGGAGATCAGGAGAAAGTTCATTGGCAAGGAGATGGATGGTGAATAGACTTCATTATTAACCATATATTTATCATATATTAAAGATCTTTCTGCTCTCTTTAGAGGTCTTTAATTCAATGGAGAGGAAAAAAAAAATAACCCAAACCTGTTCACATGCTTCTTTGGGGAGATATTTGTTTTAAGGCTACATGGCACAGAAACATTAGGGAAACATTAGGCTGTCCTACAGGCTGGACTAAAGCAGCAACAAAAGGATGTTTACTTTGGCAAGATCAATTAATACATTTTTCTGGCAATCTCTCTGTCTCTCTACTGATAGCAAACACTTAACTGGAGGTTGCTGGAACATCCTGATATATTAAGATCCTGATATTTTATTAGGTAGCTATAAGGGGTGAGGATGGAATTGCTTGAAGAGTTTAGTTTCATCTGCTCACACCTTTCAACTCCCTGGCACTGGGAGAGGCCGACAATCACCAGTCATCTTGTAACAGCATCATTCCTCCTTGTAATTCCTGAAAAATGGTTGCCCGCTTACAGAGATGAACTTATCCACCTGTCTCCAGGTGGATATCTCTGTTTTACCTTCCTAACACCACAGACTCCTCAGTCCTTATGCTTTTAAAGGAACACTCCATCCAGCAGCAACTTTCAGATTGCTTCCCTGCCAGACAAAAGCACCTTGCAGAGCCTGAGGAAGGAGGGGATGGCGAGGAGGCAGCTGATTCCATTGTGTTTTAATAGGAAAATGCCAGCACCTCTAACACGTGTTTGTCTTAGGGATTGAAGACACCTTCCGGACAGCTGCCACGGAGGTGAGCTTGCTTGCAGGGAGTGAAGACTTCAATGCCACCAAACTGTTTGAAGTTGGTAAGCAGCCTAGTCAATCTTTCAATAACAGATAAGAGACTTCCTTAGTTTTTTCTTGGGACCAAGATATTGAGCTTACCATTAAAAATGTCAGTAATAACAGCTATTTATTGTCTTGCTTATATTTATGACCTGAACCTTAGTTTGCTTCAGTCATAGAATCTTTCTCTTCTTAAGTCTTAGCAAATTCCTGTACTTCTTTCTTAATAAAATGGTTATTCTCTGTCCTAATTCAGAAGAGAGCTGTAAGGCTCCACACTAATAGAGGGGGAAAAAAAAATCAAACACTCTTTAGCATTTTGCTGAAATAGCCTTGAATGGAAGACACTATAAAAGCATTTTAGATACAGCTGTTACATAAAAAAAAAGGCAATGACTTTTATGAGCATGCATAGCTTTTATAGCTGTGTGTGCTGCTGCTGCAATTTTATAGTGCATGGGTTGGTTCTGATGTGTCTAAAACTCAGCCCAACCTCTGTAATGTTCTGATTTCATCCCTCCAATGAATCCATAGTGTGGCCACTCAGAGACACTGGATGCTGGACTAATTGAATAAATAGTGTAACCCAGCACCTCCCTCCCATGGTGTCAGAGCACAATAGTTAATGACAGCCAGGACAGGACTCTTTAAGGAGATAGAAAAACAGGACACAGATCACTAAGTAAATATTTTGCAAGAATGTTTGCTGTAAGAGTTTTAGGTCCCAGTTAGTTTCTCTACTGCAGAGTCATGTTAAATAAGTGTGGAGCGAGATATGCAGGGGGGTTTTGACAGCCCATGGCATGATATAGACACCTTAAATAATGTCTTATGTAGGAGATGTTTAACTGGATTCTCCCAAGACTCTTGCAAAATAATAAAGTGCTAGCATTAAATATGCTACTGGTCTATAAATCTCTTTAATCTCAGCTATATGTCGTGGCTCTGGTGCCATTGAATCCTCGTAATGTACAGCCACTCTGATCTTATGTCACATATGCCCTTTTAGAATCTGAATCACTTTTGGCCGCATTTGCCAGCTAAGATGTCAGTCTCCGTGTTTGAACTACAGATGCTTGAAATGCCCCTTTGGGGGAATGGAGACCAAATAGAAAAAAGTATTTGTTAGTTTAAAAAAAAAAAAAAAGACTGAATTAGAGATTAAAACAAACTTCAGGAAAAGTAATACAGGCCGTGTTTGCCATCTTGGAATCTTCATTGTCATGAGAAACTTGATCCTTCAACATCTGACACGTACTAGGTGAGTGTCTTCTGAGTGGCACCAAATCACTGTGATTTCCCTGTTTCTTTTGCTTCTAAACCCAGAATAGTGTCTCTTGTGCTGCCTGGGGATATCACCAGCTTAATTAGAAATTGCCAGGTAGAAGAAATGTCACAGATTCTGAGTGGCCTGGTTCTGCACTGTAACTCCAGACTAGCATTGCCTGAGGCCCTAAAGTCAGTCACAGGTGTGATTTCTTTATCTGACAAGACAGCACATTAACACACTGCAGGCAGGGCAGCAAACTGTGGCTGCCCATTCTTTCTAAAGCAAAGCACTGGTGCTGAACAGTTAGGCTTTACTCATTTGTTATCACTGATCACACCAACTGGGATGCTGCATAATGTATCTTAAGTTTCCATTTCCTGCCCTTAACCAGATACTGATAGCTGTGAAAGATGGATGAGCTGCAAGAGCGAGTTCCTGAAGAAATATATGCACAAAGTGGTCAATGATCTCCCCAGCTGCCCGTGCTCCTACCCCAGAGAAGTTGCTTACAGCACTGCTGAGATCTATGATCGCCTTAAGAGGAAAAACTTTCGCTGGAAAGATGCAAGTGGTCCGAAGGAAAAACTGGAGATCTATAAGCCCACGGCACGATACTGCATCCGCTCCATGCTCTCTCTGGAAAGCACAACACTGGCAGCACAGCACTGCTGCTATGATGACAACATGCAGCTGATCACCAGAGGGAAGGGGGCGGGCACACCAAACCTGATCAGCATTGAATTCTCAGCAGAACTCCATTACAAAGTGGACATTCTGCCTTGGATCATATGCAAAGGGGACTGGAGCCGCTACAACGAGGCCCGGCCTCCCAACAATGGGCAGAAGTGCACAGAAAACCCCTCAGATGAGGACTACTACAAGCAATTTCAAGAAGCAAGGGAATACTGAGAAGGTTTTCCTCCTCAGAAAATTCAGACACAAAGTAGCATTCGTTTCCTGGATGCCAAAGAACTGGTGGTGGCTGCTGCATTGGCTCCTTGACAGGGGTTGATCAGATCCTTTCTAATGAATGTACATAGTTGTAATATAATACATAAGTATTTTTCACAGTGTGTGTAATTTATAAACACATATCTCTCTATCTCACACACACCTATTTTTACATACAGACATACATAAATCTTGTCCTGGTAGGATTTTATACTGCAATAACATTCATGTAATAATGTGCATTTCATTTTATTTCCCAACTGTAACATAATGGGGAGCTGGGGGGTGGGCAGCTGCCTTCACCGTCAGGCCCCAAGGCCCCAGCTGAGGAGGCACATATTTAAAAGTTGTTATAAACAATAGGATTGAAGAATGTACTCTTCCATATGGGAATGGTTTACAAGATTAATGCACCTACGCCATCAATTTTCTCTATAATTGATTTCATGACTAGTCATATCTAAGAAGGGAAGAATTTTTTTTGGAAGGGTAATAGTCAAAAGTGAATACAGAGAATTCCTGGAGATTTTTTCTTGGAATTCTTCCTGTTACCTTCCAGCTCAGGTCTTTGCAGTCCATCTGGGGTAGGCTTGCAGGAAGATGTAGCTGTGGTTTTCCTATAGGCCAGAAAAGGTCTCGATGCAGTGGAGTCACAAACAACCCACTCTTGGAGCCATCTCAGATATGGAGCTGCAGCTGTCAGGGTTTCCATCTTATGCTGGGGAGCAGATCTTCAGGGCAGCTACCTCTAAACTGAGCACGCTGTGAGTCTTTGGAGGAGTGAGGCCAGAGAAGTAATCCATGTCAAAGGAAAAAAAAATCACAGCTCCTTCCCAGTTTTTAATATGAAGAATGTTTGGATCTGCTTGTTTCTTTCTTTTAAGAAAATAAAGAAGTTTATTTTTTTAAAGGACAGGAAAAGTGGAATCCATATGTTGAATTTCCCTGGGATAAAGCATGCAACCAGCCCTTTCTCCCCATTTTTCTTATGCTGAGTGCACAGTGTCCTACAGAAGTAGCTATTCTTTAAGGAAGCTCTCTGGGAGGAAGTATTGGTGAGTTAAAATGTCTTAATTTTTTTAAAAAGCTAGCGTTATTTTTGTAAAGTATTTATTGAATTGTAACAATAACTCACATGTGAGATATGTCTCTAACATGAAAGGTTTCTGTAGATGGAACTTGATTGCCAAGAACATGACTGTTGTTAGGCAAAGGTTTTAATTCCAAATTTTTATAAAGTACATACATACATAATCCTGTCATTAAGCAGCTCATCCCTGCATTCTTATGAAAGATAAAAATTACACCATGGGTAAATAAATACTTACAGTTCCATCCTGCAAAAGACTGCCTTGCTGCAAGTCAGTGTCTTCATTTGGAAAACTAAGGCTCAGTGTTACCAGAGGAATGCCTGTTTTGGGGATATGTGGTCTGACACACGTGTGCCCTGCATGTGGAACCTCACACAGCAGCAAAGCTGACCGGCGTCGCAGTCAGCCTGAGCTGAAAGATTCAAGACAATTCCTTCTGCTACATACAGACACGCATAGATGATATTTAAGGTCCCTTCCAACCCAAACCATTGCAGGATTCTATGAGATGCTGTAGATCTTTGGCTCTGTTGGCATTTCGGGTCTGGTTGATTGCAACCCCACTTACAGGCAGGGGGTGCCCCCAGCACTAACACAGGCACAACAACCCTGCCGAGTCTGGGCAGGGTCAGGCTTGTGTTGGTCTGCCCAGGTAGTCCAAATCAGGGGATTTAAAAGCAGCCTGGGCCTCTAAGCAAAGCTACTGCACATCTGCAACCTCAGCTGATCTGCTGAGGCAACCTCAGCAGCTGGAAACCTCGGCCAAGTCATCCGAGCTTCCCGACACAGGCTTGAGTCGGAGGTGGGGGGAGACGTGGATGTGTTCTACCACAAGCTGGTAGTAACAAAACATGGTTAGTTGAGCAAGAGGGTAAACATGGGGATCACCCCTTAATTTTTATAGAAACCAGATTTTGTAAATTCTTGCAAGGTCATAAGAAGGCGCCACCAGCAAGCGGAGCGGTTAAATTGACAGCAGATGGATGAAAGGCACAAGGAACTCCAGGATCAGTCACTTCATAGGGAAGACAGGTATCTGCAACATGGGGGAGAAAGCTCTTCTTCTTACTTCACTTAGGAGTGTGGGGGAACAACATTCTCAGGTTTCTCTGGGAGGGAGATGAGAGGACAATCACAATTCTTGAAATATAAAACACATCCCTGCACTTTGTGGATTAGTAAATTATGGTGGTATTGAGAAATGCTACTACACTGTTAACACAGAACATAACACAAAAAGTGTCAGGGAAGAGGAAAAATTAGTCTAATAAATGAAATGACGCACGAAGTCTTACCGCTTGTAATTTGCCAAGGCTGGAAACTCTGAGGCAGCCTAATAATCTCTGATAGGACCTACCAGGTGTTTCATAGGATGCATTCTGGAGCACAGATCTAGAATATCCGCACTTCTGCAACCTTAAGCAATGGTATTTATTAAAAACGAAGTCTGTCCTACTTTATAATAAATTACGATCCATTCAGGGCTGGGCTGCTTTTTTTTCTTTTCTATTTTCTTTATCTCCTTTCCAACGATCAAAATTGTACCTAGAATGACTTTGTGTAGTAGACCTCAGCAAGGTGCTGGAGTTTACCATGGCCAAAATTTGCTCAGTTTCTTAAATATAGAGCTGTTCATATTAGAACTAGACCTGAGGAAGGGTTTGTGGCTTACAGACACAGTGTTTAGGAGAAGATGCTGTTATGTTTCCAAACTACCACAGAACAGGCATACTGGAACACTCAACCAAAGATATGAGGGGGATTGAAACAAGCAGAACTGAACAGGGAAACTGAAACAAGGAAGCAGTCAAGTCATCCAATTTATTTTTAACCCCCAATCAATCAGCAGATACAGATTACGGCATGGCCTTAGAGTTGAGTTGGTGGGAACGTCTTAAGCTGGCACAGCTGCTGTGAAAGATGTGTGGAGCAGTGCCCCAAGGCAGCCATAAATGGATTGAATCGTACCTTTGATGGTTAAAAAGATGAGTGGGCCTGGCTTCACATTGCCTGGACAGCTGCTGAGCAGCAAAATTCCACTGCCATAACCCGCAGTGATGCACATGGGTTATAGGACAATATAGCGAAAACCAGAACCATACACACACCCCCAAATCCCCACAGCCCTGCACTAGTTACCAGCTGCACTTCCCCCCTCCCGCTGTGCAAACTGGTTAGCACTGTCAACACAAGGCATTCCTTGGAAAAATGCTGGTGAGCTTGTAGGGCTGCCTGTTCCAGACACAGCAGTTCTGTGCTGAGGTGGTTGGGGTGGTTGCAGTGAGTCACCGATGCACCTGACACTTCCAGCTGGGTGGGGTCAGACCAGTCCAAGGCAGGAAAGGGGGAAAGTTGCCTTTTCCCGTTCAAGAATCTGCCCCTACCACGACACAAAGAGCCTTAATGCCACAGTCTCTTACCTGTGGTGGTGAGCACCAAGGCACCGAGGGAGTGCGGGGTGATGGCCCTGGCAGCTGCTGCTGAGGAGCTGCTCGTGCTCCCCAAGGCCTTCCCTTACTTCCCTTCCTGTGTTCTCCATCTGGGCACCCCTAGACCTGCCCAGCAGCCAGTGTGGCTTACACAGCACCCTGGCTTACTCTCAGCAGTATTCATCTCTCCCTGGAGAAAGTTACTCACCTTCAGGCTTGACAGACTATGCAGAAACCTGGAGCATACCATTCCTAGCAGGGACAAGACACTGGCAGGGCAGGGAACCTGTTCATAACCCATCCAGGCACAGCTACTCTGCAGACTCCAAGTCACCCACACAACCATCAGATACCACATCAGGGGCAGTGTCATGGCAAGGCTCTTTTTAATCCAGAAGAGGAAACCTGCAGAACGGATACGAACAAGCTCGGATTTCTTTGTGCTCACTGCGTGCACCTGCACAGGCCTCAGCACAGCCATGTCCCTCCCCTCCAGAAACACAAACCCCAGCGTGCTGAGGAGGGAGGGCATCAGCAGGAAGACCACCAGCAAGCACCGGAATTAAGATGACACTTTTCCCAGGAAACTGGAGCGAGTGCGTGTTGCCGCCTGGCTGCGTGGCATTTCTGTGCCAGCTGAGACAAGCATGTGTTTTTCTATCACCAGTTTCCCCCCTCCCTTCCCTTTGTAACTTTTAATGGAAAAATGTGTGGGCAGTTTCCATTATGCCTGCGCTGTTTCAGACAAATTAAGGGGTTGGCTAAGAAATCGCTGGTTTCATATTTCATACCAAATACACACACATGCATATATTTATAATTCTATGTAAATTAATTTAGGATATCCTCCAGTCATGCGCTGTACAGCGGTGTCTGCAGGAAGGGTCCCACAGCACAGAACTTCCTTGCTGCCTACACAGGGGGATGAGGCTATTTTTGCACTTGCACAGAGGGAGAAGGGCCAGGAGGCTGAAATGGCAGCAGTCATTCTTCAGCTCTGCCTTTTACTTTCTGAGTGGCAGGTTTATTCATTTTTCCTTTTCAGCTGCACTGCTGCAGCCACAGACGCCTTTTATGACTGTGCTAATTTTCTATCAGTTCAGGGAGTTATAAATTTTTCCTTTATTTATTCTCTATCATGAGAAGGATCTGGGGGCAGGGGGGATTTTCAAACATACAGAGAAGGTTTTCATTCAGTACATGGCACAGTTTATAAGGGGTTCAGCATGTTATGTTCTGGAAGTGATAGCAATATTACACGGGGCAAACTGGCCAAACCTAACACAACTAAGTGTGGGTGGCTCTAGTCTTCAGAGGAGTCCTTAGATAATATTTCCTTTTTAAAACTGGGCAAACAGTATTACATGTGTTAAATGTCAGAGCTTACTGTTTATGATGGGCCTAACCAACGCTTCACTTAGAGTGGAACAGTGTTTCACTCTGGATTTCAGGAGGGCTCTGGTATGAATCTGAAACATGCCTGAAGCAAGGGACAGCATCTGCACACCATGGTGGTAGATGCAGGATGTGAGTCAGAAAGTTTGGGGAGCAGAGAAGGCTTGGGAACAAGCTGCCACTCCAGGCACCATCTTCCATGCTGGCTCCTGCCTCTGCACAGCTTAACTCATTTGCTGTGCTTAGGCCATTTCTTTGTCCCCAAATCCCAGCTGCAGCCATCCCCCTTCCCCACTTCCCAGGGGCAGCTCTTGAGTGGATGTTGCTCAGCCACAAAACACAGAGCCAGAGCACAGCTGGCCTTGGAAAATCTCTGCCTGCTGGAGTAGGGCTCCTTGAGTCAGGTAAGGAGACGGAAAAGGTACTGGGACCACGCAGACACCTGGCTTCCTGTGTCCTGCTGTGCCTGGCAGCCTTTACCATCAGGCAGTCAATAGGGAGCAGCTCCAAACCATGGCACAGCCTGGCTTTGTACACCCAACAGCACAGCTCCATCTCATGTGCAATTGTCCTGGCTATTCCAGAGCATCCAGCAAGTGACAGCTTGGAGACACGGCAAGGTGTGCCACTGTCTTTGAATGCCCTGAATTCAGGGCATCAGTTCTCCTACTCAGCCCTCATCTTACAGCCCCTCTGGCAAACAGCCAGAAAAAGAGTGTGGAAACAGGAGGAGTCTCTCTGGGTTGAAAGGATGCAGTAACAGGAATGGAAAAACCTCTGGTCATTTTGGGGAGGAAAGAAGATTGCCCTGAGTTGCAAAGTGGCCTCATTAAGGATGATTAAAATTTAAATCAGCATGTGGGTAATCATATCCTGAAGGAGGATGGTCTCGGAGAGGGACAAGTCAGAAGGAACAAAGCAAATCTTGAAAAGGAATTGAGCAAAAAAAACCCACAGCATCTACATCCCCAGCAGGCTAAGGACTTCCCTTGCCTGGCCATCCACTCGCAGACCCATTCCCCAACTATTTCACCACGTGTTTAATCACCACTACGTACACAACAACAGAAAAGCCAAATTGAAGGGAAGAGCCGGTAGGTGTAAAGGGGAGGAAACATTCCTGAGCCTGTTTTCCTGAATAAAGCACACACTGGCCACACGCTCACAGAGGCCGCGGCACAGCGGTGGCTGCACCACAGCTTTTAGCTGCCCGCTAGAGGCCGATGGCAGTGGTTAACCTTGACAAATAACTATGTTTTGCCCTTGCCCATAGTGGCACAGCCGCCAGCACTCCTGTAATTTAGTGTGGCTTTTGCTCAAATGGTCAACCCCCTTCCCCTCACCCCCAAATCAACCACCCAGGACAGTGGTTTTGCCCCCTCCCAGCACCACCGATGGCACAACGGAGCATTGGCTTGGGATTCTCTTCCCACAAGGAAAGGGAGACCTGGTCTCACCTTCCTAGCACACAGACAGGAGGCACGAAGCCACCAGGGTTGCAGAGGCTGGAGATGGGGGGGGGGAAGCTGACTCAGCCTCAAACACAACCGCATCCATCCCTGTGGGGTTGGGTGGCCTGGTTGGAAATGCAGAGTTGTTTTTAGAGAGAGGGACTGTCCCCAGTCCCTGAGCCAAAGGGAAAGCAGCAGCTTGCTCCATCTCTGAGGGTCACCAGTGCTGATGGGGAGCAGGAAGGTGGGAAGCCCCAGGAGCTACATACTTTAAGAGCCAAATATATGCAAGATCCAGCACTGCCAATCCAAATCTCAGCCCTGGGATGGAAACGGCACCGAGGCAGCCACACAGGGAGCTGGGCTCACCCACACCAGAGGGCCACATGGAAAGAGAGCCCAGCTTTGAAGTCTAAGTCACTGTTGGGGGCTGTTTGGTCTGCAAACAAACCTTAGAAAGGAGGTGAGACCAGATAACTCTGGCTTTAGAAGAGGAGATCTGCAAGGCCAGGGAGTCCCACAGGACTATCTACTCCACCTGGTAGTTCTACTGTGAGCTGCCAAAGCATGTTTAAACAGAGCTTGAATAGGGAACAGCAAATTTGATAGAGACAGTGAGATTTTTCCTCCCGAGAATATCCATGTGTTTCTCCCACAGATTTGCCTTCTGCAAAGTTTTCCATCACGTTCAGCAGGTGCACAGCTGCTCTCCAACCTCTTCAAGGCCAGAGCCTTCCAGGGAGTCATAGAATCATAGATGTCACAGAAACCATAGAGTCATAGAATGGTTTGGGTTGGAAGGGACCTTAAAGATCATCCAGTTCCACACACCATCCCATGGGCACGGACACCTTCCATCAGAACAGGCTGCTCAGAGCTTCATCCAGCCTGGCCTTGAGAGGTTCATTGTCTGGCAGCAAAAACATAGAAGGGTAGCAGTAGCACTATCACTCCCCAACAGCTCAATAACATCCACCACATCACTGCACCCCCAAAACTGCCAAGAGCTGCCAGGCCCTTCTTTGTGCCAACACTCCCAGCCTTCCTACCCACTGGCCGAGATTTTCAGGTCAAGCCGAGTGTGGACTTCAGTGAAAAGGTTTGAAAGCCTTCTCTGAGAGACGTTAATCCAATATGTTTGGTGCTCACCCTGGGGCACAGGGGACAAGTGACAGCCCCCCTCCTACCGCTAAACTTCCCTGCGTCAGCTTTGCACAAACACAGTTGCACGTGGCAATGGTTTCACTTCATCCCTGAGCTCTCAGGTCTGGCAGCACAGCTCAGTACCACTGACAATGGGCACTGCATTGCCCTGATTTATCCCAAGACACTTCTCATGCCGGATTTTTCATTTTTTTTTAATTGGAAAGAGGCAAATCCAGACCTCCTGTATGAAGACAATTTGTCTGTTTTGGATAAGTTCCAGCATGAGGAGGGTACTTTATACATATGGGCTCTCTTTCATGTTTGATTGCTGGACTAAGATCACATTGTTGTCCAGCTTAAGGGGGGAGAAAAAAAGAGCAAAAACCACACAAATCAGGAAAGCATTAGGTAAACTTAGCTCAGAATACATCTTCTGACCAAATGGAGGGCGATGCTTTTTTCGTATAATTAGACCGTCTGCAGGAAGTCAAAAAGAACAAATTGTGATGCTTTCAGTGCTGTGGGAGCTGTGCAGTCCCCGGGAGATGATCACATCTTCCCCACAGTATTAGTTGTCATCCCTGGGCAGGTTGTGAAGGGAGCATGTGGTTTAAAAAGCCCTCAGAAACTCTGTCATTGAGCTGCAGCTCCAAATGCCATTCCTCAGTCATAGAGTCATAAGATGGTTTGGGTTGGAAAGGACTTTAGAGATGATCTAATTCCAATCCCCCTGCCATGGGCAGGGATGGCACCCCCAGACCAGGTTGGCCCCATCCAACCTGGTCAGCCAATGAAGAGACATGCACATGCAAAGATAACATGCAAAACCAAACCCCGGTTGATAAAAATGTTTGAAAATGTTGTCTTCAGATTTGCACAAGGTGAGCAAAATGCTGGGTTTGGCAGTAAAGGGACAGTGGCACAGCCAGAGTGAGAGCGGGTGGGATGAGTGTGACTGTACCACACACTGGAGGGAAAAATCTCTGTGCCAACACAGAGATTTTGTGGTATCAAATAGTAAATGATCCCGTCCTTCAGATAACATCTCTCTCCACAATAACCTTCTCCTTAATGGGAATGGCACAAACACAAAGGCAACAATGGGAACTTGGGCCTGACACTCACATTTCTGCTCATTGCCTCCCATGCCAAGCGGTGGGGACACAAAGGGCCAGAGCCTTCACCCTCCAAAGCCAATGGCAAGTCTCAAATCACCCCAGCCTGTTGTTTCGGGAATCAACTCTTTACCAAGAAGAAACAAGTAAACATTTTTCCATCCTCTTCTCTTCCTAGACGTTAAGCAAGAGTAACTTGTAAATTGCTTCCAGCAACTTCCAGACAACAAGGGAACAAACAACTATCAACAGGCATTACACTCATTTCTTCACACGAAAACAGTTATGAGGCTGAAGGGATCCTGACAGGCAATTGGAAAGCAGTCCTTTTTATGCTAAATTTACTGTATTTTAGTCCAATTTTCCATGATTTAAAATGTGCGATGCAATAAAGAGCTGGAATGCCTTCTTTTGTCATAATATTTCACACCCAAGGCCTCAGAGCACTTTTGTGAATCAAACTCTGCAATAGTTTTGCAAAGCAAATGGTTTAGGAAGCAATGAACTGGAAACAGAGGGCAGTTTCCAGAGCTGTTGGTGGTCACAGAGGAGCCCTATAACAAAACCAAAGCAATATCTGGTCCTGTGCCCTCCTTGGGCAGATGTCTGCTGTCAACCCACAAGTCCCCTTCGCCTGGAGCTAGAGCTCCTAACCTGCATGTCCACACTGCATTATGCCCTGGTAATGAAAAAAATTCAGAAAGAAAGGTGAGATGGGTTCATTGAGGGAGGGAAAGCCCAGGAAAAGGCCAAAGGAACATTGCACATTTTGCAGTACTCCATATTCTCCCTGGGAATGAAACAGCATCAGCTCTCCTGGCACCACCGCTAACCAGACCATAGCTAACTGGGACCATTTGAGGGTCCCACTTCAGTTCCCAAGGACAAGCAGCCCCACTGCAAAAGCCAGTTGTAACCAGCGCTGTAGAAAAAGAGCTCAAAGCCTGAGCAGACAGGAAGGCTCTGCTGGTTTTTGGGGATCCCACACCAATACATATGGGTGAAGCTTTTAATGCTTCAATGCAGAGGAACTTGCCTACAGCCATAGGCACCAGTAATTCAAATCCATCAGGGTACTGGCACTCACCAAAGGGCTTTAGGAGGCTACAAGCTGCTATAGCTTAACTATACCCGTAGAGCAAAGCCCTTCCTGAGAGCATTCATAGAATCCTAGAATCATTAAGGTTGGAAAAGACCTCTAAGACCATAAGTCCAACCTTTGACGGAATACAACCAAGCTCACCAAATCACACCCTCCAGCACGGGCAGGATTTCCAGACAAAATGGAGCTGGGGCCTTTCCACTAGCACAGCCTTTCTCTTTATGTTAAACCCAAAATCAATGATCTATTGATGTTTCTTATGAGCCACAGTCAGGCCCTGCACGCCCTTGGGTGGGACAGGAAGGCTTGGGCAGCAGGGTTTGCAATGATCTCCATACTCAGAACATTTCTATGCCACATTGCAAAACCTCTGTAGTCCTTGTTGGAGATCTCAGCTCAACAAATATTCACTACCTAATTTCCCTGCAGTTTTAAATCATGAAAATTAATATTATCCTCATGATTTTTTGGGAAACTCATGGTATCAAGAGAATTAACCTGGGTAAAGTCAGAGAGGAAGGGCTGTGGCAAAACTGGGACATGACTGTAAATCTCTTTTCCTATAGGTATCCATCTTACTTCTTGAGGCTTAAGCACTACTATGGAAGATCACTGAAACATAAGTGGTTTTAATGCTGGTATTTCCTAAGATTTCAGTGATTGTGTCTTATATCCACCACTAGTTTAGACAGAAACTGAGCAGCCACCAGGTTGTGTGAGGCAGAAAAAAGCCTGTGCCCATATTAAACACTGTCCACACCTCAGAGCAGCACACAGACAAATCCTCTGTGCCTCAAAGAGCAGGGAATGGGGTGGACACAGCCGGTGCAGGCATTTGCTCTCAGCAGCTCTCGGGAATGTGCTGCTCATGGATGATACAGCTCCTGCATCCAGGAGGGCTTTGTTCTCTGTGGGGCGAAACCTCAGCCTTCAGTTCATTAAACGCAACTGCAGAAGCCAGAAGGGTGAGTCACAAAGCCAGTTGTGTAAGCACACAAATGATGAAAGCACACAGGACATGCACTGCCCTCATGGGGGATTGCTGGGGTCTGGCAACGGTCTTTGGATGGGCACAGGTTGGGGCATGGGGACAGGCTGGGGCATATCCTCATCCATCACTACCCACCTGGTGCCAGACAGGGCTCAGGCAGACAGTCTGTCCCCTGAGCCCCCTTTTAAAAGATAAGTTGGGAAATGGGAAAGGGAAGAGAAGAAGGGTGAGTGTCCCTAAAGCTCCCCCAATAGAAGCTCCTGGCACAGGACACCTTCGCGGCGCGCAGCCTGCAGACAGCTCTGACAGCGGGATGCGGAGCGTACGGAAGCAAGGGCTGCAGCATGTCCTGGCTCCAGCTGGGCAGCGTTTTCCTGACCCTTCTGCTCAGCAGACTCCAAAACCTTCACTGGGATTAAACACCTGCCCGACCAGGGGAGCTGCAGCAGGACAGGCGGCCACTCGCCAGCACGGGATCCTGCCTCTCCTCTGCACCGGCCCTGATCGGCTGGCTCATGCTTGGGAAAAACAAGGATGTCCACGGAGCAGCACCAGGGGAGAGGAAAGGGGGAGCAAACACCTGCAGGTGCTGCTGCTGCTGCTGCTGTGGCAGAGATGTCTTGACCTCAGAGAGGAACCTGCTCGTATCCCCACAGGATCTGGAAGGAAAACAAAGGCTACAGTTTAAAATCGGCTCCAGGGACAGCTGTGCCTTTATGTTGCCATCGCTCATGAGTTTCCACCCCACGGCTGTGAGTGCCTTTGGTGGGGTAGGTAGACCCTAAGGAGAGCGACCAGGGGTTGGATTCCCTTTGTTCTCCTCACTCTGACTGTCTCTTTTCCTTACCCCCTGCCTCCAGCCAGATGTGCTCACTGCCTTTCTCCTGCCAGCCTCTGCGTTCGCCCTGGTGTTAATTCAGCAATTCAATTCAGGAAGCTGATCCAGCTGAAATCCTCAGCAAGGGGAAAAAAAAAAGAAAAAGAAGTTTCCAACCAGAACATAAGCACTGCCTTTGAACACAAAAAACCTTCCTAATTTATTTAGAAAAAACATAGAAGAAAGAAAGTGACTGAAGTGTCTTCATAAAAATCTCCTTTTAAGTCGAAGAGAAGTGCCATGAAAATATCGACCTTCTAACATTGTAAATTGAGTTGGAGAGGAGATGGTGCCTTTACTGAAAGACACAGGCTGTATGGAATTCATCACTGGTTTACTCTTTTAAAATAAATAGGCTGGCAAAGTTATGACGTGACCTACTTAATTTGTTGTCTTGAAGCTTGATGAGCATTTAAGATTTGTTCCCAAAGCCTGGAAAAGGACAGAGAGGGGAAAAATGCAGGCACCATATCCAAATCCCTGTGTTGAGATGTTGCCTTCTTCCAGACACTACACTAGAAAATGGCACCACGACAGGGGTCAGTGGCTGTGGTAGTGCTGCTAATGAGAGGAAAACTGCGCTCCAGTGGCCCTCACAAGGAGGTCTGGTGCTTTGTCCTGCCTTAAAGCAGGTCAAACCCTGTTTCTAGCAGATTTGTTCCATATATATTGAGAAGTTTCTGCTGATGGAGGTTTTACTCCACACCTGAGGAAGTCATCTTCCTCACCAGTAAGATTCCTCCCTTTCTGCTTCCAAGGCCATGTACCCTTTTCTAACAGACAGAAACAGAGAGCAAAGCCTTCCCTCTCTCCTTGCAGACATCCTCAATGGAGCTGGAGGTTGTCACTACTCCAAGCCCTTACTCTTGTCCTCAGAAGCAATGTTCCTCATTTCTTCTCACTTTCCACAAAATGTGGTGCCCAATCCCACAGGGGTTTCTCTGTCAGGGTACACTTTTGTGGATACATTTCTGTCCCAGTGCACCCCAGCTCCAACACAGTCCTGCACTTGTTCCAGGTTCAGTGCGTACCTCAGAGCACATCTCCCTGGTGCCAACACACCCTTTGGAAAACTATCCATAACTCACCCAGAATCCATTTTCCTCTGTTAATTTTTTTTATTTTCATAACCTAACACTATAGAGGCTGCCACATCCAAACCAAAAAAAAATAGGCAATAACACTATATGGCTCCATCAAAAATCCCAAATCTCCTCACTCCTTCCCAGGTGAAACATTGAAAAAACTCCCTGGACAGCACCAGAAGCACAGCATCAAAAAGTGTAGCTCAAGGGCTCCAGAAAACCAAAGGTTTGGCAAGTAGACCTTGGTGCTTTAATTAAAAATCCCTGAGGGCTTTAAAAGTGTTTGGGTGTTTTGGGGTTTTATCTGTAGGGGAGAGAAATCAATTATATCTACCTGGGTGTATTTATAGCAACTTAATCTTCTTTGAGACTTCATATCTTCTGTGATTTGATAAGATCGTGGCCCTTTAATAAGCTGAAGTATTCAGATCCTTATGACAATCTGGCACTGGAATTGTTTGCTTTAGCATTGCAGATTGCACAAGAGACATGAAAGGTTTCAGCGTAGCTGGAAAGTCACTTTTGATGAAATCACCCGTCGCTCCAGGGGCTGCATTCTTTACAATTTGTGCATACTGATGATATGTGTCTTCAGATGCGTTTTGGCAACCCTGTGCCATTTTCAGAGATCCATCTGGGACTCAGGAACAAAGCAAACGCACACGAACATGAGGAAGACAGAGCTGGCACAGCTACCGGGTGGAATTTCTTTAAGGAAGCTAAATCGCTTGTTCATTTTGCTGGCAGGAAAAGATAGGAAAATGAGTGTTCCTGTTCTCGATGAACTTTGTGATATTGTTAAATCCTTCAGACAACATATAATTCATGGTGAAGCTGTGGCAGAATTCCTTTGCACTTATCCACACTGTGGCTCTCCCTCAAAACACAGATCTCTGCCTTCATTTCATACACAGAAATTGCCCAGATGAACAATAGCTCTAACTTTAGAGAAAAATCAGAACACTTGCCTCTGTGTTTTTTGCTTCAACCCTGCCAAAATTTGTTAGTATTCCATCAGTTGCATAGTTTTCTTGCACTAAAAGAGAAAAAATACAGAAGCAGATTCCACGCTGTGATATGGATTGGCAGGCGGCTTTTGAAGAGAGTTTTCCAGGTAATGCCTTGAGCTTTGCCATGGAAATTCCAAAGAGGATGGCACAAATGGTGTACCCGTGCCTGGCAATGCCCCTCAACACCAACAGCACCCAGCAGCCCTCCCAAGGCAGCATGAGGGCACATCCCTGAGCCTGGAGCAGAATGAGGATGTGGCACCTAATGGAGCTCTGATCACTAATCCAGCCTAAATCTCCCTCATAGGTGCTGGAGAATATCTGACTTACACCAGCCATGGATTTAGCCCAGGACTGCAAATCC